GGCCCGCGGTGGCAAGTGGCACAGGGGGCATTGGGGTGTCCTGGGGTTACCCCGTCCCGGCGGGGCCATTGGCACAGGGGGCATTGGGGTGTCCTGGGGTTACCCCATCCCGGCGGGGCCATTGGAGCAGTGCAGCCAGTGGACAGAGGGAAGCCGATTCATGTGGGACCTTGCCATGGCCGACCCCCTGGCAAGAGATCAAGGCCAGCGGAAGGGTGGGTGTGACCACAGAGGACAGGCCTGTGCCAGTCACCCTGGAGCAGTGCAGCGAGTGGACAGAGGGAAGCCGATTCATGTGGGACCTTGCCATGGCCGACCCAAGTCAAGGGGAGCACCCATGTCCCCAGGGCGGGTTCCCACACAGAGGACCTGAACTTCGCTAGGTCACGAGCGGAGTGACCCTGCTCAGTTCGCTCTCAGAGGGGGGAGAACTGTGACGTAGTGGGGGTACCTGGCTGGTTGCTATGCTGGGCAGTGGGCTATGAGTGACCCCCACTGGCTGCTGGCTGCAGCACTGCCCAGCAGGGCGGGGGATGAGTCATTATCCAAGGGGGCTAAGAACCTGTCTGACCAGTTATCTCCCAGGGAGCGGAACAATGGGAAGAAGGGGAGTGGAGCCCTGGCTGGGGGCAGGGCTGGAAGTGAGGGAGTTAGGGAGGTTTCTGGCTGGTTTCATGGAGGAAGCAGCCTAGGCAACGGGCTGGGATTTAGAGGCCCAGGCTCCCCCCTTTCAAGGGGGGCTGAGGCAGGGGTTTCTTGTGCAAGAAATCCCTGCCAAGCATCCACACTGCCCTCTTGCTCAAGAGAGCTTACACCTGATAAAAAAGAGCGTAGCTCTTGTACAGGAAGCCCTCTCTTCCCACGCCGTACTGTAAATTTCCTTGCGCAAGCGCAGGCGGGCAGCGTGGCTGCTCTGTGGATTCTTGCGCAAGAACTGTACTTGCGTAAGAAGCTGCAAGTGTAGACATAGCCTTAGAGGGGACACTTCCCTCAGCCTCTCTGCCCCTGAGTTACTGTCACTCACCTTGGGTTAATGCAATTGCAGGATAGTTGCATGAGGGGGGGTTTGGTGAGGGCCAAACTAGTCGCTGTTGGTAAGAGGATGGTGGGAAAAGTCCTTGGCCGGGGGGGAGGGGGGGTCACATGACACCTTTTATTTGTGGTCATGTGTCCATATTGTTACCTCCAGAGGTGTGGCTAAGGGGGGGGGAGGTCCAAAAGTACATTTTAAAAAACTTCTTGGGGTGTGCACCCTACTGAAACGTGCTGCGCACGCCTATGCTAGTAGGAGAGACATTACTGGGTAAGTCAAGGCAGGGCATGAATGTGGGCAGGGGCCGTGGCCGTCCCTCCGCAAGGCAGCACCGCAGGAGGAAAGGGGCTGTTTCTTCTAGGTCAGCGGTTCCCGACCTTTGTCAGCCGGGGCTCCATTCTGACAGTTCAGGAAGACGTGGTGATCCAAGGCAATTCAAAAACGGGCAGAGAGAGGGGGAGGGCAGAGGCTCCTGCTGCCCCTTCTGAAAGGTAAGGGTGACCCACATTTGGGTCCTGCCCCACAGGTGGGGAAGCCCTGTTCTAGGCGCTGCCAGTCCTGGTTCAGGACGGTGTCCTTGTGCCCTCTCCCCAGCCCCAGGCCAGGGAGGGGCTGGGGCCTCCTCCTTGTCTCTTCCTGGGATTTGTTTCCAATTGTCCTGCCATTGCAGGGACCGATTTGCCTCCCCTTGACGTCAAACTGAGACATTTTCAGAACTTAAATGAGCTTCAGCAAAGGCAGGAGCAGTGAGCAGGCCGGTCAGTGACACTCCTCCAAGTGACCGGTCTCCATCCAATCAAACTGCTTGTGATGGCGGTTTTCAGCCTCTGCCGTTTTTCACATAATTCTACATCTTCTGCACATAGGCCTCGTGGATGATGATGATCAGTTCAAGCAATACGAGTCAGAAGTGATTGAACCCTTTTCAATACATTTTCTTTACATTTCTTATACACTTTATCATCCCCCTCCAATGTTTGATTAAAAGCTTGTCTTGCTCTCCCAGTTAATCCGGTTAGAAGGACACTCCTCCTCTAGAATCTCCTGGAGCTCAGACCCTCTCTCCAGGTTGACAGGCGCTCTCAGTGTAGTCCGTCTGGATACAGTGGGCAGACTTTCTCCCATGCCATGCTGTTGAAGGGAAGGGGTTGGACTCAGAATTGGAGGCTTCTGCTTTTGCTGCAGCAGGACTTTGAGATGTAGTGTGTAAGCTTCCATCTCTTTCTGTTATGCTCTTTCCTCGGCTTTTCATGTCTTTAGTGAACTTCCTCCTCCATTTCAGTGGAGGCTTTGCGCCTTTGAGAGGCTCTCTTCTTCGCCGCCTCCATTTCTTTCTTCTCCTGCATCTGCAGTTCCACCATCCTTATCTGATACTCACATTCTTTCTGGGCTGCCTGGAGCTTCAGACAAACCAGTTCCGCTGCAGCGGGCTCTGTGGCATCTGGGTTGTACGGGAGCTGCTTGGACGCTGCTTCTTGGTCAAAGTCCATGAGCAAAGCTCTCCAGTCCTGTTCCGAGGCTTGCTTTTTACGGGCTAGTCCCCATTTCGACATCATTTTTCAAGGGCTTTTTTCCTCAGTCTCTGATGTGACTGATTCACTCCTTGTGACTCATCTTTAATCTTTACAAACTCTCAGT